CTAACTTTTCCACATAATTTTCTAAAGTCTGTTTTTTTTCCCCTGTAAAACTTAAAGTAGCTTTAGACAGAGTAACTTTGGACAAGGCCATTTGTCATTTGTATGTCCTTCTGCCTTGAAACAAGTTTTATTTGAGTTGTGTTCTTCTCCATTTAGAGCAATCCTCCTCAAGTTTTGACTAGGACATTTTGACTAATAAGAGCTTTCAACTAATAAGAGCACAGGCAATACAACATTGCCATATGCTTAGCTCCAAATATTGCTCCAGGCCGGGCGCAGTGGCTCATGCCTGTAATCCCAGCACTTTGGGAGGCCAAGGTGGGAAGATCACCTAAGGTCAGGAGTTCAAGACCAGCCTGGCCAACATGGTGAAACCTTGTCTCTACTAAAAATACAAAAATTAGCCCGGTGTGGTGGTGGGCACCTGTAACCCCAGCTACTCCGGAGGCTGAGGCACGAGAATTGCTTGAACCCGGGAGGCGGAGGTTGCAGTGAGCCAAGATTGTGCCACTGCATTCCAGCCCGGGCAACAGAGCGAGACTCTGTCTCAAAAAAAAACAAAAAAATTGCTCCAGCTCTTCCTTATGAAAATTTTAAAGACACAGAAAAGTTTTTAAAGATGAACTACACAGATTGAACACTTGCTAACATTTTTCATGTGTCTTGTGAAACTGCACCCTTAAATATTCTAGTATTGTCTTCTAAAAGCAAGGGCCATTCTCTTACATGACTCCAGTATTTTTATCACATCTAAGGAAACTAACAAGAACTCCCTGATGTCATGTAATATCCAATTTCTTTCCAAATTTCCCGAGTTGCCTGCAGTAAATATTTTACAATTACTTTCTTTAGACTTGAATCTCTTAAAAAGTATTAATTGCATCTGATTCTCATATTTCTTCAGTCTATTTTAGTCTAGAACAATTCCACTTCTTTTTATTTATTTATCTTTCATGACACTGGATGTTTTAGGAGTCTGGGTCAGTTATCTTGAAGACTGTTCCAAATTTTTGTTTTGTCTGTTTCTTTCTTTGTGATATTATTTAACTTGTTCCTCTTCCTCTGTGTTTTTTATAAACTAGAACTTGGAGCTGGAGACTGGTTGGGATGCAGGTGAAAGGCTTTAGCAAGAACACTTGACTGGTGAGACTATGGACTTCATGTTTGCAACAGGCAGCATATGACATCAGTGAGTCCCATTAGTAGTGACAGTGGTTTGGCTACTTTGTTACGGTTGTGACCAATAGATCTCTTTATTATAAAGATCAGTTTCCCCCTTGAATTTAGCAAATAATGTTTGGCGGGGCCAATACTTTAGCACAAGAAATTTATCTGATTCCCCCAAGAAATAAATTCACCTAATGCCTTTTACCCAGTTTTATTATCCATTCATTAGCTATGCTGTAATCAATTATTACATTGGCTTTGGCAAATGGGTTATTTTTCTAATTCTATCATTTATTTGATATTTGACCTACAAAAAAAAAGTTTACTCTCAACAACCAGGGATGAATTATAGATTCTTGTTTAAAAGGCAGAAAAAAAAAGTTTAGATCTTCTCTTTTAATTATTAATTTTAGAGTAAAATATTGGGGTGATAGTTACCTCCATATGTGACAAATGAGTTTTTTTTAATTTTAACAGATTTAAGGGTAGATAGATTTTCTATAAATTTAGCCCTAAACACAAGGGAGTGAAGAGGATATTGGGTTAATAATCAGAAAATGTTGAAATCAAATTCTAGTTCTACAGATGATGAGCCTTGTGACCTGGAGCAATCTACTTGAACTTTTCAGCCTCTTTATTCACTTATCCATATATTTTCTTTGACATCTATTAAATGCTATTATATGAGTTACTTTTTTTAACGGCTGGAATTCCATTGGGAGCCTCACAGTATCTGTTAAGTTGCTAGCCCTCTAGGAGTTTGTTCCTTTTTGTTTGTTTTTGAGAACAGGGTCTCACTATGTTGCCCAGGCAGGTCACAAACACCTGGGGTCAAACTATCCTCCTGCCTCTGCCTTCCTAAGTACTAGGATTACAGGCATGAACCACAATGCCTGGCCTAAGAGTTTGTTCTTGTTGCTTCTGCTACTACTATTGTTGTTTAAAAATATTAATAAAATGCCCATGGTGTATTTGAAAAAAGCAAATTTCATAAAATATAACAATTAGGCATTGAAAATACACCACAAAAAGATGTCTTGCTTGTCGAAAGAGAGAGAGATACCAAATTCATGAATGCGGGGCAGAATCAGGAATGGGGAAAGGAATAAAGTGGCCTTACAATTTCCCTGCACTATTTGAGTTTCTTAACTAAAGCAAATATGATATCACATTCATTCTGGAGAAGCATATACATGAATATTATGTATTGTCTCCAGTGTAGTGGTTGTTAAATAGAAGTAAGCATCAGAATCAACTAAGGGACTTTTTGCAAATGTAGATCCCTGGGCCTCTCCCCTGGTGATTTAGGGTCAGTAAGTCTAGAGTAAAACTCAGGCATCTGAATTTTTTTAAATTGTCGAGAGATTCTGATGCAAAGCAGCAACTGTAGAAGTATTGGAAATCGATTAAACAAAAGATATACAAATGGTCATCACAGCATTATTCATGATAGCCAAAACGTGGAAACAACCCAAATAACCATCCACTGATGAACGGATTCATAAAATGTGGTCCATCCATTCATGCCATGGATAGTAGTCTGCCCTAACAAAGAAAGAAGTGCTGACACCTGGTACAACACAGACAAGCCTTGACAACATGATGCCAAATGAAAGAAGTCAGTCACAAAGGACCCTGTAGTGTATGGTTCCATTGGCATTAAATGCTCAGACGAGGCAAGTATATAGAGAACGAAAGCATTTTAGTGTTTTCCTAGGGGAGAAACTTTGCAACATAGCAAGACACTGTCTCTAAAAAATAAATAAATGAATAAAAATTTTTTTTAATGTATGGCACATCAACTTGATGGAATGTTATACAAAATATTTAGATGACATTATGATACCATAATAGCATAAACATGTTTATGACACAATAATAAGTAAAAATTTTAAACATAGGAATAATAAAATCAATTATGATACATCAGTGTGATAGAGTATCAGACAAAAGTTTTAAATGATCATCATGAAGGCTATAGCCACATGAAAAAAAATATTCTAATGCTATAAAAAAAAGAATAAAAAGATATCACAAAGGGAAGAAATAAGGAAAACATGATTCCTGGAATTTGTGGTGAACAGACAGAAAATACATTTTTCTACTACCCTCTCCCCCTTCTGTTTATTGGGACTCTTGGTGAAGACAGTAACTCTGTCAAGAATTTGACCTACAAAAGGTTAAAGAAAAAGTCATTTCAAAGCTTTGCCACATTATTATTGACCAAGGATAGAAAATTCCCTTTTGTTTAGATAACCCCCTAGTGGGCCTTTGTAAAAACTAGACTCTCCCCTCCTACCACCCACAGATCTGGGGTCTGGAAGAAGGGGATTGAGAAGCCGTAGGAATATGGGAGATGTCTACTGAAAGAGAACTTGGATTAAGAAGAGAGATTGAGCTTGGGTAAAGAAGAGAGATGGGGGAACTTTCCAGAACATAGGGAGAAGAGAGGAAGCTAGGGAATCGGCAGCATGCAGGGACTCAAGGAACTCTGCCCCAATTTCCAGTAGTGGGGAGGAGTAGGACACTGTTTAAAACAATGATGTCTGCCATGTTCTCTTTCACTCTGTGGGAAAATTCCCCCAAAATAATTGTCTATGCATAGTCCCTCGTTCTCACTACCAGCCCTACGTAGACCACTCTGTCTAGACCACATGCTTCTGCCTCCACCTTTCCTCAGAAACTACTTCTGCCATAGCCTCTAATGACCTCCATGTCGTCAAAGCCAGTGGTCACCTTTATGGCCTCACCTGACGCAATCTCTCAGCCACATTTTCACAACTTACATCACCCTCTTCTGTAAAGAGCGGAGCTCCTCCTGGGCATCCGTGACACCACATGCTCCTGGTCTCCTCCTGCCTTCCCCACTCTCCATCTTAGCCTCCTCAACTGGTTTCTCATCTTCCAGGTAACTTTAAACTTGAAGCACCACCTCCGCCCCCACTCTGGTCTCCTTCCTGTCAACTCTCTCATTACTTTGTTTCATCCACTTTTCACAACTTCAGCTCCATCTACACACTCACAGATTCCACGTGTGTGTCTCCAACCAGATTTTGCAGAGACACAGATCAGCATACAATTGCCTACCTCACTTCTTCACTCAGCTGTCTCAAACTTAATTTCTCTTGTCAATATGGTCCTCTCTCAGAGCAGATTTTTACACCCACTGGTTAGAAGTCATCATGGAATCCATCCCTATCCACATTCAATCCATCAGCAAGTCTTAGCAAGTCTCATGAATTAAACATGCACGCAAGTCAAATTCACAGTTCCTGCTTTATTAGCATAATTCTCTATTTAATTATACATAATCAAAGATGAGACATCACTGGAAGAAAAAAACCTGATAAAACCTACCTTGTTCTTGAATCGAGATCTTACCTGTTCCATTTTTATAAGACCAAAATGCAGTTTGGTTCATTTAAATAGAAATAATATAAGGGCATATATCATTATGAAATTAACTCATATAAAGCTATTTGAGAAATCAATTCAAAACAAAATAATTGTATAAACACAACCTGGGAGCTCAAATGTTTACATATTTAATGAATGCACTTAAGTTTATTCAAAGTAATGATATTGCCTAACTCAGGTATTATAAAATTTACCATAACAAGGTGAAAACATAGCATAAATATGAAAAGCATAATTTTGGAACTTTTTTTAGTAAAAACTGCATTCTCTCTATGCATAGGACTTCATCAGAATAAGAAGTGTATTAAAATTATGTTAATTTAAAAATCATCATTTATTAAACAGTCTTGGATGCAGATTTCTACCTTCATTTAGTATTACCTGTTTTGAACCCAATAGAGTTTGTTCAAACTTACCTTTGAGTCTGGAGGAGGAGCCAAACCAAGGAAGGAATAAATAATATTCTCTTCTTTTGCAGAGAAGAAAGAGTCAAAATCCTTGAAGCAAAGAAAAAGAAAGTTTAAAACTACTGCACACTTGTGAGCCAGTTTATTTATGGAAACTGATCTTTTTATTTATTAGTTCTTAAGTGGGAAGCTCACACAAAAAGTCATCCCAGTTTGCTTTGTCAAAGATGACTAACCTCCAGAGTTAAGAAATCTAAGCATGAACTTTACATTTGTTTTTATACACTTTCATTGTGCCTGTATACCACAGCAAGAGCACACACACACACACACACACACACACACACACACCCCCCTACCCATGTCCGGGAATTGCTGACAGGGCCCAAATATACACAGTAAATGGCTTTTCCAAGTTTCACACCACCACCTGGTTTACTTATAATCTGGCCCTAAGCATTTGGTCCCTGATCAGCTGAGACTGAGATGATACAGGCTGTCTACACTGTGATTAAAGTATCCCTAAGGGCCCAGATGCATCTCAGGCCCTCCCAACATGAACAGGCACAAGACCATCGGAGGCATAGAGGGCGACTGTTTTGGCAAAATGGGAACAACTGGAGTGATCAGAAACTTGGTAGTGGATTGAAATCTGATGCTCAATGAAGCTCCCACCCCATCCAGATCCTACCAGGGCCAGTCCTTCACCAGGCAGGTCCAGCCCTACACCACCTTCCCAGTAACATAGCTGTCAATAGCTTAGAAGAGTTTCAGTCTTTATAATAAAAACATAAACAATATTCCCCCAGGCTACTTTACTACTGCCAATCTTTGTCATCAAGGCCTTGATGCAATTTCAACAGTGTTGCAAAAAGGCTCACAAAGTCACAGGCGTTTGTCTCATTTAACAGGGCAACACACAAAACAACTTAGTTGTTCTTTGCCTACCCTACTCTTAGTGTATGTTAAAAAGCTTAAAACCAGCCAGGCGTGGTGGCTCATGTCTCTAATCTCAGCACTTCGGGAGGCCAAGATGGGAGGATCCCTTGAACCCACGAGTTCAAGACTAGCCTGGGCAACATGGTGAGACCCTGTGGGCATGGTGGCACACACCTGTGGTCCCAGCTACTTGGGAGGCTGAGGTGGGAGGATCACTTGAGCCTGGCAGATCAAGGCTGCAGTGGGCTGTGATTGTGCCATTACACTCTAGCCTGGGAAACAGAGCAATGCCCTGTCTCACCAAAAAAAAAAAAAAAGAAGTTTAAAACTAAATACAGGTCACAGCTATTGAGAAAAAAAGTATTATGTATTCCTGTGTGTTACTCTTTTTTTTTTTTTTTTTTTTTGAGAGAGAGAGAGAAAGTCTCGCTCTGTCTCCCAGGCTGGAGTGCAGTGGCACAATCTCTGCTCACTGCAACCTCCGCCTTCCAGGTTCAAGCAATTCTCCTGCATCAGCCTCCTGACTACCTGGGATTACAGACACGCGCCACCATGCCCAGCTAATTTTTGTATTTTTAGTAGAGACAGGGTTTCACTATGTTGGTCAGGCTGGTCTCAAACTCCTGACCCCAGATGATCCACCCACCTCGGCCTCCTAAAGTGCTGGGACTACAGGTATGAGCCACTTATTCAAAGTGTTACTCTTATTCAAAGCTTTATTGTTTTCCTATCCATTGCCTCAAGTCTCTCAGTGATTAATTTTATTCTTTTATACTGAATACATGTTTGGAAGCTGCCTCAAATCTTGGTTGAAAGGAATATAACAACATGAGTAAGTGCAGGAACTTTGGTATCAGAAATTCTGATTGATTCCCAGAGTACACGCTTACCAATCATTGTTAAAAGATTACACAAGATACTGCATTAATAGTAGTAGTAGTAGTATTAAGTTGGTGAAATGTAATAAAGTATATCTATGCTATTTCCCAAAAATGCCATATATAAAGTTCTGAAAGCTTCTTTAGTTAGCCAACTCTAGATTTCAAGGCAAGAAAGATTTTCTTATAGTTGAGTGAATTAGTCTTTTGCTTCAATTTAAGACCAAATACCTTCTTCAGAATTTCAGAAGGCTGAAGAACAATTCATCATTATCTTTCACTTGATGCTACCAAATATATGTAGAAAATAATGAACATAAAACAGATTTTCAACTCCCAGTTCTGCTGGGATTATTATGGCAGATTAGAGGCCCTGAAAAGCTGTCTCAAAAAAAAATTTTTTAACCCAATTAAGAAAAAACTAAAAGTGTAAATACACTGCTGAGCTGGCAGAAAAGACTCCGGCCAGTGAGAGCGTGAATCCTGAGAGTAAGCACGCACCAAAGCCACCATTCGTGCTGAGAGTTTCTGACACACACACGACACCTTTATCATCACTTTGACACTGAAGAGGAAAAAGGAGGAAGGAGATAAAGCCCAGAGCCTCTTCGTCAAGGTAGGGAGTTTCATAAGCACACACACCAGAACTCCAGAGGGTTCTGCCTTCAAAGTAAATGTGAATGAGAAATAACCCTGCCAGGCAGAACGGAATAGAAGGAAACTTCCCTGATTCAACTTTGCTTCTGGGTGGAGGGGAAAATATTCTCCTCTGAGAATTTATAACCACAAGTAGAATTCACGAGCGGTTGCAGTTCAAATTCCCATGCCATGTGTGATCCTAAAAAATCTTAAAAGGACATCTGAGTTTAAGATGTGTCTAAGTTTGATGCAGAAATAAACTCCAGGCCTCAAAGAGTATCCACTGCTGTGATTTGAATGTATCCGCCAGAAAGCATGTGTTGGAAACTTAATCCCCAGTGCAACAGTGTTGGGAGGTGGGGCCTACGGGGAGCTGTTGAGGCCATAAGGGGGCCATCCTCATGAACTGATTGAAGACATTTATAAAAAGGCTTGAAGCTCGGAGTTGTATCTCTCCCTTTCTCTTGCTACTGTGATGCCTTCAGCCATGTTTGACGCAGCCAGAAAGCCCTCATCAAATGCTGCCCCTTGATCTTGGACTTTCCACCTCCAGAGCCATGAGCCAAATAAACTTCTATTGTTTATAAACTACCCAGTCTGTGGTATTCTGTTATAGCAGCACAAACAGACTAAGATAGCCACAAACAAAGTTTTTAAAAATGAGCAGTTTGAAGTCAAAAGTTATAATATAAATAAGGGAATAAAAAGAAAATACGAGTGAGAGCCAGAAGAAATAACAGAAGGTGGAATTAAAAATCAGAATCAGATATGGGAATTATCAGGCAAAGAATACAAAACAGCTATATTTAATATATTTAGTGAAATAAAAGAAAAACTTGAAGACAGAATAAATACCTAGAGAGAACAATCAAGCAAATTTAGAAAGGAACCAAAAAGAACTCCCGAAAATAAAAAGACATAATAGCGGAATTGTAAAACCCAATATGCGGATTAAACAAAAACACCTGAAGAGTAAATTAGCTAACTGGAAGATGCAATCAAATCATCCAGGCTGGGTGTGGTGGCCCATGCCTATAACCCCAGCACTGTAAGAGGCAGAGAAGGGAAGATTGTTTGAGCCCAGGAGTTCAAGACCAGCCTGGGCAACATGGTGAGACTCTGTCTCTATTTAAATAAATAAATAAATAAACAAACAAACAATCTAGAGAGGAAAAAAGAGATGAAAAATGTGGAGGAAATATTATTGTATGAAAACAGTATGAGAAGTTCTAACAAATGTCTTATAGGAGCTCTTGGAGAAGCAAATAGAGATAATACGGGAAAACCTAAACTCAAGCATATATTTGCTAAACATTTTCTTTTTTTAATTTTTTGAGACAAGGTCTCACTATGCTGCCCAAGCTGGTCTCGAACACCTGGGCTCAAGCAATCCTCCCACCTCGGCCTCCCAAAGTGCTAGGATTATAGGCATGCACCATCTCGCCTGGCCAATTACTAATAATTTTCTAGACTTATTGAAAGATAACAACCCTTAGTCTCAGGAAGCCCAGTAAATAATTCTAAACTAGATAAATAAAAATAACTCTAAACCTAGACACATCGTAGAGAAATATTATTAAAAGCAACCAGAAAGAGAGGAAGAAGAAGAGGAAGAGGAAGAAGAAAAGAAGAAAGGATGGACAGAAGAAGAAAGGGTGGAAAAGAAAAAGGAAAAAAGAAAGTTTCCCAATAAAAGAACAGTGATGAGACTGACAGCTGACTTCTCAATAGCAACATAGAGCCCAGGTGAAAGTAAAATAATAATTTCAATGTGTTTAGAAAAAAATAATAATCAGCCCAGAATTCCAGACTCAGTAAAACTATTTTTTCAAGCATGAAGGTGAAAGAAAGACAGTCATCTGGAAAATATTTTTTTTGTTTGTTTGTTTTTGAGACGGAGTCTTGCACTGTCGCCCAGGCTGGAGTGCAGTGGCATGATCTCGGCTCACTGCAAGCTCCGCCTCCTGGGTTCACGCCATTCTCTTGCCTCAGCCTCCCAAGTAGCTGGGATTACAGGTGCCCGCCACCACACCCGGCTAATTTTTTGTATTTTTAGTAGAGACAGGGTTTCACCGTGTTAGCCAGGATGGTCTCGATCTCCTGACCTTGTGATCCGCCCACTTCAGCCTCCCAAAGTGCTGGGATTACAAGTGTGAGCCACCGCACCCAGCGAAAATATCATTTTTTAAACAAACAAAACCTTAGAGAAGTTACCGCCAAGAGACCTTCACTTAAAGAAACTTATAGGATGTATTCAGGAAGAAGAAAATAATTCCAGATGGAATATCTGAGATTCAAGAAGATAAAATTAATAGTAAATATGTGGGTAAATCTAAATCTGAACAAACATTGACTGTACAACCAACAAAGAGAAATGCCTAATTTGTGGAGCAGGATGAGAGGCCAACTGAAATACTGAAAAACCAAACACATGTAAACAGAGAGAGTGATTAGGGTTAAAGTGTCTAAAGGCCCTTTTAATGTTTGGGACAGACCTAGTGCAGTGGTTCACATCTGCAACCCCAGCACTTTGGGAGGCCAAGGTGGGCAGATCATCCGAGTTCAGGAGTTCAAGACCAGCCTGGCCAACATGATGAAACCCCATCTCTACCAAAAATATAAAAAAATTAGCAGGACACGGTGGTGCGTGCCTGTAATCCCAGCTACTCGGGAGGCTGAGGCAGGAGAATTGCTTGAACCTGGGAGGTGGAGTCTGCAGTGAGCCAAGATTGCACCACTGCACTCCAGCCTGGGTGACAGACTGAGACTCTGTCTTTAAAAAAAAAAAAAAAAAGTTTGGGACAAAACTAAGGATACTGATTATCTTTAATTTAAGTATGTATGTTAAAATAGCTAAGTTAACCACTAAAAGGATAGATTATTTGAATTGAGTAAAGGGTAAAATTAGAAAAAAGAGACTTTAGTAAGTAAAATTACATCAAGAAAGGATTTTAAAAAACTGCAAAGCTGAGAAAAATTAAAAGCATATAACAAAGTAGAAGAAACTCCAAATATACTCATAATTTCAATGCATGGGTCAAAAAAGAAAGGTATAAATGTTTTAACATTTGTACTTAACGATAAAGAAAATACTGCAGGCCGGGCGTGGTAGCTCACGCCTGTAATCACTGCACTTTGGGAGGCCAAGGCCAGTGGGTCACCTGAATTCAAGAGTTCAAGACCAACCTGGCCAACATGATGACACCCTGTCTCTACTAAAAATACAAAAAATTAACCGGGCATGGTGGCGCCTGTAACCCCAGCTACACGGGAGGCCTGAGACAGTAGAGTCACTTGAACTCGGGAGGCAGAGGTTGCAGTGAACTGAGATCAGGCTACTGTACTCCAGCCTGGGCAACAAGAGCAAAACTTCATCTCAAAAAATAATTATCATAAATAAATAAAGTGAAAACAAAAAAACAAAACAAAACAAAACAAAACAAAATACTGTATATCAAAATATATGGAATGAACTGACAGTACTCAGTGAGAAATGTCTAGCCTTAAATATTTACATTAGAGAAGAAAAAAAGGTTAAAAGTGAGCTAAGCATCTAACTGAACATTAAGGTAAGGGGAGAAAAAAAAACAAAGTGTATAGAAGTGACAAATGATAAAGGCAAGAGCAGAAATTTTAAAAATAAGAGAAAAATCAGCTATAAAGATATAAATATAGAGAGATCAGAAAGAATCAATAAGCCAAAACAAACAAAGACCAAAACAAACAAACAAAAACTATGACCAACATAAATTTAAAAAAAAAAAAAATTCAGAGAAGACACAATAGAAACATTAGAAATGAAGAGAGGACATAACTACCTATTTTAAACAGGTCTTAAGAATATCTTATTTAAAACTTTGGGGGATGTTGATTATGGGGGAGGCTCTGCATGTGTGGGAACAGGGGGTATATAGGAAATTTCTGTACCTTCCTCTTAATTTTGAAAAAAAATGTTATACTAGACTTTAAAACTTAAAAACTAGCTCAAGGCTGCCATGGGCCATGATGGCAACACTGCACTCCAGCCTGGGCAACAGACAAAGACCCTGATTCTAAAAAACAAACAAACAAACAAACTAGCCGTCTTAGAATTTATGGAAACCGAATTATGAAAACCAGCTTATGAAAAGGTAGAAATCTAAACAGTCCATTCATTAAGGAAACTGAAACGTTTCCCGCAGAGAAGAGCCCAAGCCTAGCGAGCTTCCCAGATGAGAGAGAGGCTCTCTAGAAGAAAATTCTATTTCTTTGGGAATAGAGGATCGCAATGGGAACGCATGTGTCATAGTAAACTATGTGCATATTCAGGGAGGTAAAAGAAGACACAGGTTTTTAAATGAAAAATCAGGTCTGGACACAGTGACTCACACCAGTAATCCCAACACGTTGGGGGGTCAAGGCAGGAGGACTGCTTGAGCCCAGGAATTCAAGACCAGCCTCGGCAACACAGGGAGATGCCATCTCTACAAAAAATACAAAATTTAGCTAGGTGTGGTGCCGCACACCTATAGTCCCAGCTATTCAGGAGGCTGAGGCAGGAGGATTGATCAAGTCCAGGAGGTTGAGGCTGCAGAGAGCCATGATCGTGCCACTGCATTCCAGCCTGAGTGACAGAGCAAGACCCTTTCTTTCCAATGACTATCACTGGTGCAGAGGGCGAGGGATGTGATTAGAGAGAAGCACACAGAGAGCTTCCACATTTCTGGTAATAGTATCCTGTCCTTCTTAAACTGGATGGTGCATACAGTGGTCACTCATTGTATCATTCCTGTTTAAATTATGTATTTCTTATCATATACAGCATATTTCAAAATAAATTTTAGGAACATAACATAGCTTGTTCAGTAACATCGATATGTTGAGAAGCCCTCTCCCCACCCTAATTAGGTTTGCATCCTGTGTTTCCTTACAGCCCTGAGTGCCCGGAGACACTCGTTCCTCTGCTAAACGGGCACCTCTGTACTGAATGATCCGGGTCCTCTTTGGTTGTGTTCAGTCAGGCCCAGGCTATCTTGGTCCCAGGCAGGCACTCTGGCCCTTACCTGGGCTAAAATGCACAGATGCCAACTTGTCATCAACAGATGCGTCTGCTCTTTCCAGTTCACATTCCTCTGTCAGGCGGGGAGCCTGGCCTCAACTGTGCCTGGCTTCCAGTGTGGTGTCTCCTTTCTCAGTCTAACAGTTGTCTACCCTGGCTCTCAGGATAATATCTTCATTTGCTCTGCGTAGAGTAGCAGAAGTTCAAACTGGCAGAGGCAGGAAGGCACTGAGGACTACCCTTGACACCCAGTCCCCTCACTGCCCACTGAAATCTACTGCTTTTCTCTGGGGTCTCCTTCCACCTATTGCCATCATCAGGCATGGCATAGGGTTGACCAAGAATCTTCAGAAGCCAGGGAGACCACTTAAATAATAGTTATATACATTTTAATCATGTAGAAAGGACACTGACTATCTAGACTGATGTTATTTTAAGCCCGCATATCCTTCAGAACTTTTGAGTCTCCTTTTAAAATCTTAGCACACAATAAAAATAATGATTTTTACTTACTTTCTGGAAACAAAGCCCTGTTCTTCATGAATGTACTTTTGTAAGTGTGTCCATAGACCACAGAAAAGCAAATTAAGCAAAGCTTCTCGTAAGATAAACTACAAATACCTCTCTGAAGGTAGAAATGAAAAGAATAGGCCAGACGCGGTGGCTCACGCCTGTAATGCCAATACTTTGGGAGGCTGAGGAGGGCGGATCATGAGGTCAGGAGATCGAGATCATCCTGTCTAACGTGGTGAAACCCCGTCTCTACTAAAAATACAAAAAATAAGCGGGGCGTGGTGGCGGGCGCCTGTAGTCCCAGCTACTTGGGAGGCTGAGGCAGGAGAATGGCATGAACCCAGGAGGTGGAGCTTGTAGTGAGCCAGGATCACGCCACTGCACTCCAGCCTGGGTGACAGAGCAAGACTCTGTCTCAGAAAAAAAAAAAGAAAAGAAAAGAAAAGAAAAACTTTCTTTCCAACAACTTGATTTATTAAGTACGATCTATAAACTCCGGGAAAAAAAAGAAGTGATCTTAAGGTGAAATGAACTATCAAATGTATAAAACAAAATTGTTGTTATAACCATAATGCCCAGAACAGTTTTCAAACTAATTAAAGTTACACAAATTCATCTTGTATCTATAGTAAGACTTTATTTCTACAAGTCAATTTTATAAAAGTGAAAACTTGCTGGGCACAGTGGCTCACACTGTGTAGTCCCAGCACTTTGGGAGGCCAAGGCAGGAGGATCACTTGAGGCCAGGAGTTCCAGAGCAGCCTGGGCAATATAGGGAGACCGTCTCTACAAAAAACTTACAAACTTAGCCGTGTAGGTGGTGGTACTGGCACTCCTGGCAAGTCCCAGCTACTCAGGAGGCTGAGGCGAGAGGATCACTTGAGCCCAGGAGAAAGAGGCTACAGTGAGCTATGATTGCACCACTACACTCCAGCCTGGTCGACAGAGAAAACTTACCATGCTCCTGTGCAGATACATGTGTGTGCACACTGCAACACTGAACAGAATTCCTAGCTAAATGTATAATATTTTTGAACACGTGACCTCAATTCTTCAAAATAAAAGAAAGAACCTGAAATAATCCCCAAAACTTCTGAATCATCATGATATTGTTTCTGTCCTTTTCTAAATCTTAAATATTGATTATTCATAATGGATCTACCATCCAGCTATTGGATGGTAGAAACAGATCATGACCTGACAGTTGTGAACAATTTCAAATGCTGACTCAAAATTAATCTGGTTTAGAAAATTTCTTTTTTTTTTTTTTTTTTTTGAGACAGAGTCTCGCGCTGTCGCCCAGGCTGGAGTGCAGTGGCCGGATCTCAGCTCACTGCAAGCTCCGCCTCCCGGGTTTACGCCATTCTCCTGCCTCAGCCTGAAAATTTCTAATAAACACACACACAGCAGGATTTTTAATAGAAGCACGTACTCACCCCACAGTACTGCTCCTCATTGAAGATCTGGGGAGGCAAAGGAATCCCATTTTGAGGTTTTTTCTCTCCAGGAACATTCTCTCTCATCCACCTCCTATTGTCTTCATCTCCAGCAATATCTAATTCCTTAAAGTCGATTTTATTCGCTTCCAAAAAACCCACTACTTCTTGCTGTTTCTTCCTAATCTGGTCAAGAGTAGAGAAATATTATTAGGCTGTTTATGAAAAATATTTTGTTTACATGTACAAAAATTAAATCCTTCCTCTATTTACACTATACAACACAAATAACTGTGTTAAGTATTCAAACAAGGAAAATAATAGAATCACACCTTTTTGTTATAAAAGGTCAACAAAATGACTATTTAATTTCTGAAATTTTAGTATCATCAATGTTTAAATTATTATATAATCAGGCTGGGTGCGATGGCTCACACCTGTAATCCCAGCACTTTGGGAGGCCGAGGCAGGTGGATCGCCTGAGGTCAGAGGTTCAACACCAGCTTGGCCAACATGGTGAAACCTCGTCTCTACTAAAAATACAAAACTCAGCCAAGCATGGTGGCACACGCCTGTAATCCCAGCTACTTGAGAGGCTGAGGCAGGAGAATCGCTTGAGCCCGGGAGGTGGAGGTTGCAGTGAGTTGAGATCATGCCACTGCAATCCAGCCTGGGTGACAGAGCAAGATTCCGTCTCAAAAAATATATAAATTAATTAATTAATTATTGTGTAATTAACTGTTAAAACTAAATTTGGGCTTTAGAAGACTCCGTAGGAGTCCTAGGTAATGAACTGCAACCTAGCTTAGTACATAAACAAACTGAAAACCTAACTAGAAATTAGCCTTTGTAACCAGAGCTGAGTTTCAGTTAATGACAGCAGACAAGCTTTAGCCAATCACAGAAGGTCAACTGTTAAACCACTTTCAAATAAGGCAAACACTGAGTTAGAACCAACCTAGCTATCTGTACCTCACATCCTTTTTCTGAATGTCATCTCCTTTTCTCTGGCAATAAATATAACCTGCACGTGTAGTGGGGCAGAGCTTTGTGAACCATTTTTTGGCCTGGACTGCTGCCAGATTCTGGAATCACAGAAGCCAATTAAGATCTACAAACGGCCGGGCACAGTGGCTCACACCTATAATGCCAGCACTTTGGGAGGCCGAGGCAGACAGATCACCTGAGGTCAGGAGTTCAAGACCAGCCTGACCAACATGCAAAAACCCCATCTCTACTAAAAATACAAAATTAGCCAGGCGTGGTGGCGCATGCCTTGTAATCCCAGTTACTACAGGGAGCCTGAGGCAGGAGAATCGCTTGAACCCAGGAGGCAGAGGTTGCAGTGAGCCAAGATTGTGCTATTGCGCTCCAGGCTGGGCAACAAGAGCAAAACTCTGTCGGAAAAAAAAAAAATCTACAAAACTAGATGAGTTGTAATGTTGTCTTTTAACATGACCTAATTGGAGTAGAGACTCTCTCGTATCTTTTTTGCAGTCTTCAAAATACTTTTAATTTTTTGCAAAGCTTTAATGGCCAAAAAGTAAGTAAGAATTAGGAAGACAAGGGATTGGGAAAAGGGAAAGAAGAGAAAAAAGAGGCCAGACAATGTGGCTCATGCCTATAATCCCAGGACTTTGGGAGGCTGAGACAGAAGGATTGCTTGAGCCCAGGAGTTTGAGGTTACAGTGTGCTGATTGTCCCACTGCACTCCAGCTTGGGTGACAAAGCAGGACCCTGACTCTTAAAAATAAAATAAAAATTTTGTTTTAAAAAAGAAGAGAAGGCCGGGTGCGGTGGCTCACACCTGTAACCCCAGCACTTTGGGAGGCCGAGGCGGGCAGATCACGAGGTCAGGAGTTCGAGAACAGCCTGACCAACATGGTGAAATCCTGACTCTACTAAAAATACAAAAATTACCTGGGCGTGGTGGTGTGCACCTGTAACCTCTGCTACTCGGGAGGCTGAGGCAGGAGAATCGCTTGAACCTGGGAGGTAGAGGTTGCAGTAAGCCCTGCACTCCAGCCTGGGAGCCAGAGTGAGACTCTGTCTCAAAAAAAAATTTTTTTTTATTTACTTTTTAAAAAATAAAACAAAATAATAAAATAAAAAAGATACTTTACTATGAAATTCAAATATCAAGTATACCCACACTAAAATGCATTTCACTCAGTTATGAAAATAAGAGTATTAGTCACATTGAACTAAAAGTAGCTTTAGAAATATTACAGGAGATTAAAAAGCTCACACAGAGATTACTGGAGGGGAAGGGCACAAGTTGGGGCTAGAAAAAGCTGGAGGATGTTTCTCCCAGCACATAAAAAAGCCACACAGCGAAACAACCCTTTTCTCCCACAGATTCCTCCTTTCCTGCTCACACCTGGCTCCTCTCTGAGAGCAGTGTAGTCACATCTAAGGGAACACGGTTGAATATCCTTTCTCTACCTGTGTAATGTGTAATGACTGTATCTGCCAGTAGCCATTTCGTACCAACGTGGCCATCCCTCAAGCTTAGAACTCCTTCCCCATAAACAATTACAAAAGCAATTACAATTTTCTCTCTTCAAAGAATTCACTCCTGGAAATGTGTGATGTCATCTTTTATAAACACTGGCAAATAAGTTTCAGCAGACTCTGTGGACCCCATTTTAATAACCACAGGGAGAAACTGACAGAAAGTGTAATCAGGCCAGGTGCGGTGGCTCATAACTATAATCCCAGCACTTTGGGAGGCTGAAAGCAGAAGAATCGCTTGAGCCCAGGAGGTCAAGACCAGCCTGGGCAAACAAATTTTTGTCGAGAGACCACATCTCTACAAAAAATTTAAAAATTAGACAGGGGTGGTACATGCCTGTAATCCCAGCTACTCAAGAGGTGGGAAGATCACTTGAGCCTGGGAGGTGGAGGCTGTAATGCTATGATCACACCACTGCACTCCAGCCTTGTTAATAGAACAAGACCCTGTCAGAAAGATAAAGAAAGAAAGAAAGAAAAAAAAAGGCCCAGGCGTGGCGGTGCATGCTTGTAATCCCAGCACTTTGGGAGGCTGAGGTGGATGGATCACGAGGTGAAGAGATTGAGACTATCCTGGCCAACATGGTGAAACCCCGTCTCTACTAAAAACACAAAAATTAGCTGGGCATGGTGGCACGTGCCTGTAGTCCAAGCTACTTGGGAGGCTGAGGCAGGAGAATTGCTTGAACCCGGGAGGTGGAGGTTGCAGTGAGCAGATATTGTGCCACTGCACTCCAGCCTGGCGACAGAGACTCCGTCTCAAAAAAAAAAACAAAAAGAAAAAGAAAAAAAAAGGAGGAAGGAAGGAAGGGAGGAAGGGAAGAAGGGAGGGAAGGAGGGAGGGAGGGAGGGAGGGAAGGAGGAGAAAGAAAGGGTAATCAGACAAATAACCAATCAACAGTTATTTATTGACTCTCTACTTTGCACAATACATTGTGCCAAGTCCTTCATGTGAACAGATTCTTAAACTGCTTGTTTGGGTGAAAAAAAAAAGTACAGAACTAATTAGTACAATATAGATACAGAATACACTCAGGATAATGAGGCAAAAGTATGGCCATTTATTAAGAGTAAGATTAAAACTTGGCCGGGTGCAGTGGCTCAGGCCTGTAATCCTAGAACTTTGGGAAGCTGAGGTGGGCAGATCATCTGAGGCCAGGAGTTCGAGACCAGCCTGGCCAACATGGTGAAACCCCATCTTTACTAAAAATACAAAAATAAGCCAGGCATGGTGGTGCATGTCTGTAATCCCAGCTACTTGGGAGGCTGAGGCAGGGGGATCACTTGAACCCAGGAGGCAGAGGTTGCAGTGAGCC